ACGCAGGGAAGGAGATGCTGCACAAAAGGCTAAGCTCAGACCTTGGCCGTCGTGGGACGACGTGCTGGGGAGACGGGGTTATCTGTGTGGCTGAGGGAGAAAATCCCTCCCATGCTCAGACGGGTGGTGTCGCCCCCCAGGAATGTCACGCTGGGAGGGACACACAGCACAGCAGGCACAAGAATATTTGATCTCGTACTTGGGTTGAGGGCCAAGGTGGAACCCAGGGTCCCTGAAGTTGTTCAAACAGATTTATTTTTAAGCTACACCTCCTGTAGGATGTATTACTCATCTTACCTGTGCTGCAAGGGAGTCATCCGCCTGCTCCCAAATAAAACTCCCGATTTGCCTTCTGATTTCTGCCATGAAAAAAAATAAATGACTGTGAGAGCATCAAAGAATGAGACTGCATGGTAGTTGCTGCCGGAGCAAGCTCCCACCTCTTGCAGGTGCTGGCGATGGTGCTTGGCAGGAGCTCACCGCGCGGTGCTGCTGCTAACGCAGCGGGAAAATGGAACATCAGGGGAGAAGTATTGCTCCCAGCAGGAGATCCCCTCTGCTTACAGAAGTAGCTGGAGGTTCTGGTTTGCATCCCCAAAAGGCTCCGCTCCTCAGGGGAGCCAAACCCTAATGTTTTTGTCCCTGACCTTCTTGCAGGCAGGCGGGTGGCAGGACGTAGTGGCCCAGAACCACGGACGCCTTGGCTCCCGTGCCGGTGCTCGCCCACGCGGAGAGGTAACGGGAGTGAAAGACGGTAGCTCTGCCCTCCAAGTAATCCAGGCTCTCGTGTATTCTGGAAGAGAAAAGGACAGCTGGTTTCCAAAGGTAAATCTGGAAAAAACTTAAACCACAAAGTTTCTGGGGGTATTGTCATTAAAACTGATCTGCTCTGATTTTTTTGCCAAAAGCACCTAATTTTCTGCAATTTTTGGTAATTTTCTGACTACGAGACTCTGCCAGCAGCGTCCTGTTATGGTCCCGGCTGCCGGCACCTCCTGAGAGCAGCCTGGAGGAAGGACACCAGGGACCAGGAAAACATGTATTTTTCAGGACAAAATGGCACGGTTCTGCTCTCGAGATGAGGCCGGTTCGTTGGGGAGGGGGGAAAAATGTGATTTTCATTTATTTATTCTGAACCCCGCTGGTCCCTGCTCAGCTTCGTGGCACGGTCCCCAAACAGCGGCAGCACTACAGCTGAACAGGGAAGGGTTGGTGGAGGATGCTCAGGCACTCGCCGAGCTCGTTAGACAGGAATTAAGTATTGTTTGCCGAGTTGAAGGGTATGGATAATGATTGCAAGTTTCCCTAAGAAATAATCTGAATATATACATTCAATATGGATATATAAAATGATATATAATCCCCCCTGGGGGAACAAGCCCGTCCAGCGGGATGCTGCAGCGGAAGGGAGGTTCTTACTCTGGGTTTCTCAGGATTCCCCTGCTGCAGCTGGCGCAGGTGGCTGAAGGATTACAAATACCTAAGCCAGTTTGAAGCAATCGTGTCTTAAAAGAAGCTGCTTAGTCCAGTCTAGCAAAGCCTGCTGCAGAGCACTGTGAGGAAACATCACAGTTCCCTTTTGCATAGATATATTTACATGATATTGAGTGTATATAAATATCCAGCCGCTGGAGGAAGACCCTGAATAGCCTTTCCTTACACTTGTACAAATGTCCTTGAGCTCTCTGATTTTTTTATATTGAGCAAGCAGAAGAAAAGTAGCAATTCAGCCCTTTTCCAGCCATTTTTACCACTGCGCTTGCTTTCAGAGTTAACTCACGCTGGCTTGTTTGCACCTGGTCTCTTCCTTGGAGATGGTGTTGCCTCTAATTTAGACCCTGAATTTTCCAGTGAATCAATTCAAAAGTAGTGAGAAAACCAGTGCAGTTAGTTTGATTTGGATTGAAGTTAATCAACCTAATCCATGGATGTTTTTACGGCCATTTTCTGTTTTGCCTACATACAGTTTAGTGTGGGTGTGAGTTTCCAGCCCCACTAGGAAGTAAATAACCCCACTAGGAAGTAAAACCCTGACAGACCTTTACCAGGCACTTAAAAGTCAGGGTGGTGTTTAAAGGATGTCGGCATCCATTAAATACTTCCCATTAAATACATTAAAACCCTTATCTACGCCTTCGTTGATCTTTTGCTCTCTACAGACGTGTAGAGGGTTCAACGTGAGCATGAAACGAGGCTGCAGGCATCTCCTGAGCAAGGAGGGTGCTGCCAGCATGGGGGTGACACGGTGTGGGGGACAGTCGGGGGATGCAGCCCACCTGCGGGTGTCCGGGTGGGCGGCGTCGCTGCTGAAGAGGTAGTCAGCATCAAAACCTCCCGCCCCCCAGCCACTGCAGAGGGAGAGGGGGGTGAGGAGGAAGGTGGAAGCTCCAGCGTGTCTGGGTGGACTTGGGCTCGGGATGGGGCCAGCTGCCCGGGCTGGTTGTGGGGCTGTAGAGCCAGGCTCTGAAGCGGGAGCTGTGACAGGCCCCCCCACGGCTGTGGGTCTCTCCCTGCCCCCCATCAAGAGCTCTTCTGGCCTTTGCTTTAGTGCAGGGGCATCATGCCCTGCCCCAGCACTGGGGAAACCTGCCAGTCATGCCCTGTTGTGGGGGCTTAGCCCTGTGCTGCCCCAATGAGGGGT